TATATATATATATGTATATATATATATATATATATATATATATATGTACGCGCGTGTGTGTTAGCAGAAGTCATATATTTTTTTAAAAAGCAATAATAAGTAAAAATAGATTTTTATGTGAATACACAACTTTTCACAATAGTATATATGTCTATTCGATCACAGTGGGTCTTAATATTTAATAATATTTTTTGCGTGAATTTATATACATGTTCCTGCAGTTAATGGTAATTGATGCGCATTGATTAAAACACAGTTTCAAACTATTTTTAAAAAAATATATATAAAACATCCTTTATAACAATTTCTATTCTTTTAAATATGTGTTAAGCAGTGTTTAAGACAAAAATATACCTAGAATACGTTTAAAAATTACGATAAAAATTTTAAGTATGTTATTATACGTACATATTATACTTTTTTTACATAAATAAATGTATACATATGTCTAAATATGATTATATTTTTATCAATCTCGATAAAAATTTTAAGTATAATTTTATACATATATGTATATTTGTTTTATATAAATAAATATATACATATGTCTAAATATAATTATGTGTACATTGAAATTCGAAATTCTAAGAATGTTCTTACCTAACAAACATTTTGGTTGTGGGATGTTGTCAAATGGGAAATAAATGCTAGTGAATGATAATGCCAAAGACCCTACTTGTCTTCAGTTAATCTCCATTGTCAAATTGATCAAATCTGAAGAACATATTATTCCGCAATCAAACTGATGGTCAACACCGGAGCAAATTTGACAATGCGACGACAGGTTGACACAACAAAGTCAGAGTAGATCTATTTACTGTAAAACATTGTTCCATTTTTTGCGAGATGTTCGCTAATATTATTTGCAATAGCAAAACTGCTTGATATTTACTATCAATCTGCTATGCTTGAGAGCTTGCTGATAGCTGCTATATATTTCTGTTATATATTTTGCTGATAACAAAGATTGTTGCATATTGACGAAAGTGTGCTAACAGTACTTGCAATAACAAAGTATGTTTCTTATTTGCGGCTTTTCGGCAAACATTTGTTATCAACATTTGCAATTGCAGAAAATGTTACAGAGATACATAATACGTTCGTTATTATTCTAAGAATCTTGAAATTGCAAGTTATAACTTTTAACATAATTGATGCTGCGCGATTAAATCTTTAATACTGTAACAAATGATGAAATCCAGTCATCCTGTTTTTATATCAAGACAAACAAAATCATACGTATCGATTATAACTTTATTCGAGTAATTATTACGCGACACAATTATATTAAGAAAATTATCTTAACATACATGTCGATAGTGAATAATTGTTTGAAGATGAAGAATAAAAAATTAAAAGAAGTGAAAATTAAAATTGATACTTTGACGGATTATAGATTTATTAATGATAAACAACAGTGTCAGTAATAAATATGGCGCCGCGATAATCGGGAACCTGTTCGTTTGCTAAATCGACGATTCGCGGATACGAACTTTATCGTTATCGTGCCGCTGATAAGAGGAAAACAGACGCGCGTTACAGCTTTATTCGCATTAACGATTGCTTGTGTTGTACATGGCATTCCGATGTGGCACCTGCTACATTGTGCACGAATAGAACACACGCACGCGTAACACAATTCACTTGAAGAAATACGCAACGCATTGCGTTATGTCTCGTAATTAACGTAGTAGTATTGTCTCAAGCAGCACTTGTGGGAAATTGAATGAGCTGTCGATATAGACAAAGTGCATTTTAAAAAGAAAAGAGACTTTTGATTTTAATCACGATTCAGTGTGCGTTTGTGTGTATGTACATGTGTATAGTGAACTGCAGACAATTAAATATTTTGTAATCTTGCTATTTAAGTTATTAATTTAAGAGATGAAGTTTCGTACATTGTTACTGTTCGTTTTGATGAATCTGTACCTTACGAAGATATGTCTGAGCATCGACACGAAAATTTTGAGCTTGTGCACGGTTCAAAGTACATGTGAGAATTGTTTAGAAGCGAGTTTGTCTTGCGCTTGGTGCAGCGAATGGGTAAATGTTTTGTATTTCGAGAAAGTCGCAGCACATCGAAGTTTCTGTTAACACGTTGGATATTGTGCAGGATCGTTAATTTATAATATAATCTGCAAGATTATATTATAAATTATTTTAGTAAGTTACATATCTTCATCAGTCATCCACGAAATAACTTTGTTTTTTCGTGGTAATAATAAATATAATATAGCAATTAATATAGATAACATTATACGATAATAAATAAATAGGTTATGCTTGTACATTTTAATAAACATTTTAATAAATTAATTATCCGATTTGAGATCCGAACATTCTTTTGTTCACTCTTTAGTCAACGTAACGTAAAGTCTCTCTAATTAATTGTGCGAAATTAAAAGCGGTTGCATGATGTTCAACAAGTGTTAGTTGGAGGTTCTGATGCGCGCGAGATGATTTAATTCACCGCCATGCGTAATCAGGTAAACGTGACTTGCTTATTTTTCTGTAATTAAATCTTAGTCATACTCAAATTCCACGTATGGCAAACCGAGGTGCAACGTGCCGGAGCGTCTGCGTGCATTTGGCTGTCCGGATGCAGAAATACGCGCGGCGCCGGCGGGATCGCTCCGGGTGCTGATGAACATGGATTTTCAAGACGTCTCCAACGATCGTACAGCACAGCCGGTACAGTTGAGACCACAGAAGCTGCGACTCAGGATCAGACCACGCTCCAGTCAAGTAGTGACGCTTCAGTATAGGCCGGCTAAGTAAAAATCTCAATTAACAAAGTAATGAAATAATGGAAACTTTCATTATTGATACGTGATTAATAGAGAACTGGAACGAATATTGTAGTAGTAATTTAATTTTTTTTATTTTCGTATATATATGTGACGTTGGATAAGTCGATCAATTTCATATAAGGTTACTAATAAGTGTGGCTTACGCAAGCGCAAAAGATTGCATTTCTGGACCGCGTAGGAAGTTGTCATCCCACATAATTCCAGAATCATGCGTCCTTTCTCGTTGTCTATCGTCTCTAATTTTAATTATCAACAATTTTATATTATTAATAAATAAAAATATAAATAATGTTAAGTAATATCAAATTTACAATATTCTCGTTAAAATTAATAATATTGCTATATTAAGAAAACAATTTAACACTTATAATGGGAGGACCAGAAGCGCTCTTGAAACGCTTTGAAATCACGCTTTTGAATACATTGGTGCAAAAAGGTAATCTTTTATGTCTATTAAGAATCCTAAACTCTAATTTTGGATATCTTTTAGTTTTTGAAAAATTAACAATAATAAATTTTTGAAGTTCAAATCGATTAATTACTTGGCAGGATGATAGATCTTAGGAAAAGTGGAAAAAATTTAAGTATTACAATATTTCAGGATTAATTAATTTTTTTAATGCATAGGTGGTATAAATGGAGTTCACATTAATGCGAACTCTGACTATCAGATTATTAGTCAACGCTTTTGTCCGCTACATTGTCGAGATGATGAAAATGTATTAATCTGAACTATATATTTATACAACTTATGCATTGGAAAAAAATAGATTCTGGAACATTGTAATACTTAACTACAATATTTTTCTCTTTTCCTTGAGATTTATCATCCTGCCAAATAATTAATTATTTTAATAACTGATTGACAAAATTTATTGTTAATTTTTGAAAAGAAATATCTGAAACTAAAGTTTGAGATTCTTAATAGAGCTACAAAAGATTACTTTTTGCAATGAACCGCATTTCCACTTCTGGTCCTCTCCTCGTATAATATTCAAATAAATCATGTCAAATCAACAATAAATTAAAAAAGTCATGTTTAAGATAACAGTGAGAATTTTTCAATTTTTAAAATAAAATATGCATAAGTTTAATTTTTTTGACTTATTTTATTTTACGATTTATACAAATTATATACTTTTTGGTCACTTTAATAATGAGTTACAATATTTAGCCTTATTTGAATTCTTCCTGTAACATTTTATATACAAATTATGACAAAATAATAATAATATTAATAATATAAAACTAATAATATATTTGTATTAATATAATGATAAAGTTAATAATATTATTAGGAAAGTTAAATATACATAGTAAAGATTTAATTTTTAA